AGGCTGCAAGAGACTGAGTGTATTTCTGAACTTGAATTGTAGCCTATTGCTTCCCTAATAAACCCCATAATCTGTGAGTTCTGTGTGGCTACTGCAGTGAATTATCAAACCCAGCAAATACGTGGTGGGTGCTGTGGGAGGAATGGTTGGTGAAAGGGCTGGAGGAAGGCAGCATGCCTGGCCTCGCAGGAATAGGCACTGGGCTACTGATGGTGATTCTGTCTTCCTCTTGTGGGGTTAGAGGTCAGAACATGTGGCCTCCCTGCCCCTTTGGCAGGTTAGCTGCCCTTGAGTCTATTCCAACTCTTAGCAACCTCGTGTGACAAGAGTAGAGCTGCCCCCTGGGGTTTTCTGGGCTGTAATCTTCATGGGAGCAGCTCACCAGGCCTGTCTCTCATGAGTAGCTGGTGAGGTTTGAACCTCCAACCTTTTGGTTGGCACCTCAGTGCTTAACCGCAACATGAATGTGTACAACGGCACTTTAAAAATGTTGCTGTGCAGACCGGTCACCAGGGATCTTGTTAGAATGCAGATCCTCGATGCCGTGGTTCACCTGGTCAGGACTCCTTTTGCTTTATTTTGGGAGCTTCCCCTCAGTTTTCCTCCAGAATCCACCCTTTCCCCAGTCTCATCCCGTGTGGCTTTAGATTGTTGACCACCTCCTTACCCAGGGTGAGCGTATGACCCAGACCCAGACCTTCATCACTTTCCCCTGGTCATCATGATTGGTTCAGGAATGGGCATGTGACACAAGCTGGGCCAATGAGAATCAGCCCTGGGATTTGGTCAGGAAGTGCCCAGAGCTTCCAAAGAGGAAGCTCTTTTTTTTTTTTTTTTTTTCCCCCTCACTGCAGTAAAGCATCCTGGAGCCACCACTTGGGACAGCTCACCAGGAATGAAGCCATTGTAGAGGACAGAATGGCCCGGAGAGATGGACAGGGCCAGCTTCCTAATGGTGTTTTTAGAATCCCTGGATCCAGTCTCACCTGAAATAAGAATCCACTTCCTCAACACTTCCCAGTGACGTGGGCCAATAAATTACCATTTTCGTCAACTGACTTGACTTGGGGTTTCTGTCACCTACAGCCAAAGTAGTCCTGATTGATACCTGACATTGCTGGCAGTCCTCCATGGATCCCAAGGGCCATAACAACAGCTTCTCTTTATTTAAAATCTACTGCATTTACATGCTTATCTCATTTAGTCAGGACACTCCTGCTGTCAGTTATCCCCATTTTGCTGGTGAGGAGATACAGGCTCAGAGAGGTGGAGTGACTTGCCCAAAGGCCCACAATTGAAAAGGCAAATCTGGCCTCAGATCTGTAACCGTAGGCCCCCTTTTCTGGTTACTGCAGAGAGTGGCGCTGCCTGGTGTGGGAAAGCTTGTAAGGGTCCAATTGGGAAAGATGGGGGAGGGAAGGTCTGGCGAGAGGGCTGGACAGGCTGGACACGAACAGATAGAGTTAAGTCATTTTTTTTTTGGAGGAAATAATAGAAATGGGCAGAGGTATCTTAGTGCCTGGGCTGAGGGACACCAACGGTTCACCAGCAAGGTATGTTGGTCTGACCACTCTGGAGAATAATGTAGCAATATGTGGCAAAGCTCAAGACGCACATTTTCCCTGACTGCACATTCCTGGGTATGAGCCCTGACAGATCCTAGCCCATGGGCTCAAGGAGGTGGGTTCAAGAAGGCTCAGGGCAGCATTGCGATGGCCTGTGCCTGGGCACACATCCGTCAGCAGTCGAGTGGACAGATCAGCTGTAGTATGGTCCCAGTGATGCAGCACAGCACATAGAGACAAGTGGGCTGCAGAAGCCCTCCACCAGGGATGCACGGCATCGTCATGTGGGGGAAAGAGGCAAAGCAATTGTTTCAAAGTTACAAACACGGAAAAATGGCATGTATTGTTTGGGGCTGCATGTGTGTATAAGAGTATCAAGGCAGGAGAATGAGGAAAACCAAATTCAGGACCATGGCAGCCTTGGGGTGGGGGAAGAGGAATAATGGTGGAGGATGTTTGAGGAACACCTCAGTGATACTTGGAATGTCTTATTCTTAATTGGGGTGGGGTGCCTGAGTGATATATTTTTCTTAAGTGTTTACATGTCTGATTTATGTCACAACAACAAAGATTGGGGAGTGAGAACTTCGTCTTGAACCTCAGAGGCAGCCCCTTGGAGGGTTTGGAGCTGAGAATGACATGACTGAGTTGACGTTTTAGCAACTCTCTCTGGCTTGCTGACATGAAGGATGGATGGTGAGGGCAGGAAGAGTCCTGAGGAGAAAAACCACAGGAGAAATGGTGGGATGGCCAAAGAAACGGCAGAGGGACGGACAAAGGTGTCAAGTTAGATGTTTGGGAGGTAGAATCCTTGAGATGTGGCGATGGGCTGGCTATGGCAGGGGGGAAGGGGAGGGTCCATGGTGACTCTGGTCCTTGCTTTGGGGGATGGTGGTGATGGGGACAGAATTTGACAAGGCCCCAGAAGCAGCCATCCACTTGTGTTTCACTTGTTTCCAAGCGAGAGGGTGTGGTTTTGGTTCCATCAGTCGAGGGACCAGACGGGACAGAAAGAGCAAAGAGATCTATGGGGCTGGTTCCAGAGTTTCTTAGTGCATTGGGTTGGTCAGTGGGGAGACTTCCTGGCGATGGAAGCTGGGGAGCAGAATAGATTACATATTCTTGAATTCTGTTGTCCGAGGAAAGATAGCTTTCATGATAACTGTGTGTGAGAGAGAGTTTCTGGCATCTCTGGGAGAAAATTCTGAGTGTTTCTAAAGCCATCAGGAAGTAACAGTTTGCTTGATTTGGATTCTTCCAGAAGCAGACCTTGAGGTAAGGGCTTTAGTGTAAGTACTTTGGGAGGTGGTCCCGGAAAGGGGAGTAGGGAAATGAGACAGGCGAGAAGGCAGCCAATAAAGGCATTAAGACGCCAGTAACCACTGTGGGCTCAGATCTGCAGAGGAACGCAGAACCAGCTTGGAGCACAGCCAAATGAGTTACCCACTTTGGGGAGGAAGCTGGGAATTTAGACATCCACTCCTGGTCATTTGACTGCTGACCAGAAGGTTGGTGGTTCAAACCCACCAGCTGCTCCATGGAAGGAAGACAGGACAATCTACTTCTGTCAAGATTTACTGCCTTGGAAGCACAGTGGGGGTCGCTGTGAGTTGGAATCTACTCCATAGCAATGGGTCCTGGTAGTTACTGGTTGAACGCTACTCCCTGGGTGTCAGTTCTCCAAAACCTCTGGCCATAGTGGTCTCCAGTGGCCAGAGCAAACCCTCAGGCAAAAGGGGACAGTTGCTGGCAGCTGAGCCAGTCAAGGTGCACTGAACTGGTGTAATTGGAGAAAGTGGCCACTGTGACACAGTAGCTCTGGCTCTTAATGAGGTTTAATGCAGTTTTTCTCAAAATGCATTGTGTATCCCATGAGTCCTGTGAGACATTCCACAAGGAAGGACTGTAGTTAGAAAAGTTTTGGGGAACTTGCCTTCTCCAATGCCCTCTTGCAGATTTGTTGGAAGAGAATTTCCATGATATGATGAAAGAGGAG